CTCTCTCTCTCTCTCTCTCTCTCTCTCTCTCTCTCTCTCTCACACACACACACACACACACACACACACACACACACACACACTCCGCTAGGATTGCAGGGTTGGTGTGAGTAAAGTTGACCACTTTTCTCTCTCAATGATGGGCATTGCTAACTCTGGGCGATGTGGTGAGTCCTTATCCATCAGTCAAATGCATCCTGGGCAGACAGACCGTCGGGGTTCAACCTCCTGACGAGTTGGTGAGAGTCCGACGAAACACAGTCATGCTTTTTTAAAGTGTATAGCGAATATGACAACACACACACACACTCTCATGCACACGCACGCGAGCGTTCTCTCTCACTCCCACCAAAGGCCAGGGGTGTGGGCGCTATCGAGAAAATGGCCCCAAAAGACCCATTTTCAGGGGGGAAACAACACATAGGGCTATCCCTTTTTCTTTCTTTTTTTCCCAAATACTACACTCGTGGGGTTATCACGCCATCAGGCTCCCATGCTTTTTTGTTTTTCTTTTCTCATGCCATAAAACCCACGGAAATTACCATCGTGGGTTGTGCACATATGAGTACAACGCCTGTTTTGTACTTGCGGACAACACTTTGTACGCAAGTACAATTTTATTTTATTTTTTTGTATGTCAGACACGCCTGGGCCACTGGTTGTCCTGGTGATCTACCGGTTTAACAAGTGCGCGATGGATTCCAACGAATTCTGTGCAGGCCAAGAAGATAAAAAATAATAATTCTGGCCTTCACTGGCACCCGTGGGTTGCTTGCTAACAGGGCCATCTCCGGGAGGTGCTCGTAGTCTGAGCAATGACAGAGGAAAGCCGGGCCATCTTCTGCAGGTGCTCGTAGTCTGAATAATGACAGAGGAAAGTTGGCTATGGCACACTCAGGGAAGTAGACACAGTCCAGTGCCGCCTGCTCCAAAGACACCAACAACCGGCTGTGCGATGGCAAGGCAACAGCTAGCTTGGCCATGGTCGAGAGCTATAGCGGCATTTGATACCCTGGTGCAATGTGATCACGGCTTCCTGTATATTGTGAACAACCCTGAAGGTCTCCCTGTGCTTTGTGACGGCCAACCCATGAAGACAACTCGCCGACCGACTGGTATACAGAAGCTCTTGCGGGAGTGCTCACCAGCAATTCCCCATGGTATTTACTCCCAAATATGTGGGAGTCGTGCTGAATCCCCCAGTTCTTAGCATCAAGACCTCACATCCAGAGTCCAGCATGCTACGCTTCCAGAAGATCATCCTGCGTGAAGCACATCTGGAATTGTTCCACCCCACGAAGACAAACTCACCGGCCGACTGGTATACAGAAGCTCTTGGGGGAGTGCTCACAAGCAATTCCCCATGGTAGTATTTACTCCCGCATATGTGGCAGTTGTGCTCCATTAGAATCCCCCAGTTCTTCGCATCAAGATCTCACATCCAGAGTCCCACATGCTACACTTCAAACACAAAAGCCCACATCAAACATTTCTTGAGCTATTCTGACAAAATCCATGATGCAAATTTGATACAACAAGCACTGGCTCCCTGTGCAATATCCTAGAAAGCTACTATGCAACAACGAGTAGCTGCAATCCTAGAAAGTTACTATCCTAGAACTGAAAGCTACTATCCTAGAACTGAAAGCTACTATCCTAGAACTGAAAGCTACTAGGCAACAACGCAGGCCTGAAAGAAAATTGTACCACCAGTTGTTGTTACAGAGGTATAGCTCCTCATCAACCAACAAAATCGACCAAACAGGGCTGCCACTAAACAACCGAGTGGAGGTAAGACTACAATAAGTAGCTTAGCAAATGCATTTTTCACATGCCAACATGTCAGTCTGCACTGCGGTACCTGACTGTCCAGCGGTCATCCGACACTGATCGACATGCTGTTCAACAGGCCAACATGATACCCCAGACTGCGCAGTTTGTGTGTCAATCAGAGCGGGCACTCTAATTGCATGGTGACGAGCACCGAATCCAGGCCGTCCGGTTGCGCCATATGGACTGACACGCGGGCCTGTTGAATCAGTATTGATCACCTTGTTGGTGTCCACATACTGGGTTAGAGATTTTCCTATACGTAGGGATATTTGCCTAATGGCCAGCGCAACGAGTACACGGTGGCGGCAGTCACACAAGGACCTTCGGAACGTGTCTGACAGCAAGCCAGTTGCACCGCGAGTGTGCTCCCAGAGGTAGAGACGATAACATGGAAGGCTGTTTGCCCAGTGCAATCTCTCGAGGCTCCACGCCAAACGGTTCCAATGGAGTGGCAACAAAACACTTCAAGGAAACCTGTACGCATCATACCGACCGACTTCACAGAAATGATCATCACTTGCGCACGATTGATTTCATGCTAATACGCAAGTGCCCTTTTTTTGCTTTTGCTTTTGAGAAATCGTCATAACTTGTCGAATGGTAGGAACTGAAGAGTGACTACCTCTTCCCCTAAACACAATGTTGCTATCCCCAAGAAGATAGATAGAGCTCGCGAATGGACTTCAAATCTTGCCTACACTTGTCAGTGTAAGGAAGATGAGCGATAGTGAAGTTCAGAAATCGAACAGCATCACACACATGAGACCAGATAGTTGTGACCTCGAACCAAAAGCAGAATTGCATCATGAGTTTCACCAAATAAGAACACAGAAGAAGCTCATAATTGACAATGCTGGAATAGTCTCATCATCATCAACGAAGAACCAATGTCGGTATCCTATCTGGCGCTCGGCGCCCAGACTACGAATGGCAGATCCAATCTAGCCTAGACTACAATGCCGATGATGACGTCAACAGCTCCCTGAAGTACGAGCAGATCTCGGACAATGCTGCACGCACCAGGTACATCTCTCGTATCACTCACAACCTCGCTCCCCAACTCACAGATGCCACTTGCACCCAAAGACCACCATGCGCCCATCCAGCGTACAGCAGCGGAGCTCGGCTATGGCTGCCTGCTCCTTCCAGCTCGCCCGTGAGCACGTGAGCGCTGGCCAGCGTTAGCGCAGCAGCGCTTGTGCAGCATGCAGCCAGTGCCCGAATGTCCCCAGCGTGGGCTGGCCCTTTCCTATATGGAAATGGCCAGCCTGCGTGCGTGCAGCCTGGCTGTGCTGGGCCTCAGCCCAAAAGCTTCCGGTAGGCCCAGAGAGGCTGAGCCTCGGACCAAATGAATTGGCCCAGGGCCAACAACAGTTACCTGTGCCCAACTGCCCACAGCTTGAGTTGGGCCTGTGCTGCGAATCTCGCCCAGGGCCTGACACAGATGCATTTGTTAAAGAAGGCCAGGGCCTGGGCGCTTCAAACCAACTGGCGCTGCGCAACTGCCTGAATTTTCCCTAGTTGCGAAGTAGTCCAAAAATAGGCCTCTTAGGGTCTGTCGGGCCTGCCTTCACTTAGGGCGGCCGACACTGTTGCAAATAGGGGCCCAGTAGGGCTTATCGAGGCCTTGTGTCTCACATTCCCTCCTCCATACTTCGCTAGTCCTCTGAGAAGTTCAGTCTTCGATAATCTGGCGCTTTCCTTTCCATAGAGACTTCTCTTAGTGAGCGACAACCTGTGGAGCGGTCTGCATCAGTTCCGCCCGTGTGAACCATCTATCCTTCTTTGGATCAGTGTGATGTCTGAACTGAACCCAGTACTCCAGCTTCGGTTTCGGAGGACGTCCCCTGCCTGTCGGTCTTGGAACTGGCATTTCCCTGTGATCAACAATGTCGTCGATGTCGACCTCTCCTTCCATGGTTGGGGGCAGCGTAGAGCGACGAGAGGGAAACTGATCAGTTTCCTTCAATGGTGCAAGCTTGGAGGCGTGAAAGACAGGGTAAGTGCGGAGATGACCAGGGATCCGAATAACATAGGATGGCCCATCAAGATCTTCCCCAACAACATCTAGAACCTCCCATGGTCCAAAGTACTGTGGCATGAGCTTACGGGAGATCCCGTGCTCCTGTCCCAGTTCTGAGGATTTTACTCAGACTCTGTCCCCTACCTGAAATGTAGAAGGACGGTGGTGCTTGTTCTCAGTTTCTATCATTGCCGCCTGTGCCTTGTGCATCTGTTCTACTGCCTGCTGCATTAGTTGTTCATAGCAATAGGCAAACTCAAGGGTGCCGGGTGCAGCAGTTGACTGATTGTCAGGTAGCAGAAAGTCTAGGGGCAGTCTGGGCTTGAAAGTCAGTAGCAGACTACTAGGACATACTCCAGTTGCGCTGTGCACAGCATTGTTATACAGGCTGGCGATGAGAGCAAGTTTCTCATCCCAGTCCACCTGATTGGGCTTGATGTAATGCCACAACAGGTGTTGAACAGCGCGATTGAGTTGCTCTGCTTGGCCATTGGCCTCGGGATGTTCCCAGAAGTCATCTGCAACTGTGTTCCCTGTTCTGCAGCTGCAGCCTTCCACAACTCACTTGTGAATCGGACATCCCTGTCACTAACAATAGGCTTTGGGAGCCCAAAGTCTCTGACCCAGTTCTCTTTGAAGAGTCTAATCATATACTCGGTCTTCGCTGTCTCCGACATTGCAACTAACTTAGCGTACTTACTAAACCTATCCAAGATAACAAAGATGTGTCTCATTCCACTCTTGTTGGTGACCAGCGTGTCCATGAAGTCCATAGACAGGCTCTCACCGAGCCTTTCCGGAATCGGAAGGGGCTTGAGAAGCCCAAGAGGGGCCTGTGTATGGGGCTTATCTCTCTGACAGACCTGACAAGTCTCCACGTACAGCTTGGCATCTCTCATCATCGTGGGCCACCAGAACCGCTGCAGTAGATTGGCTGCAGCCTTCTTGAAGCCAAAATGTCCGGTGGCATCGTGACACTCGCCTAAAAATAAACTACGCAAAGACTCTCTATTTGGCACACACAGATGTTTATTCCCTTCCTTCTCAAGGAACAGCAGGCCGTTGACAAACTCGGCAGAAGTGATTTTATCCTTCGCCTCGAGTATGCGAATGATCTCAGACATAAACTGATCCTCGCGATAGGCTTCCACCATAGAGTGAGCAACATCATCCACAAGCCCAAACTCAGTGATCAGCGCACCGAAGAAGTCAGGCCTACGCGATAGTGCATCAACAACCTTGTTGTACTCGCCCTTGATGTATTGGGGCTCAAAGTCATACTGCTCTATGACTTCAATCCAACACTTCAGAGCGTCGGAGAGCACAAGTTGGGTTCTCATCCACTTCAGGGGCTGGTGATCAGTCCTGACATAGAAGAACCTCCCAAGGAGATAGTGCCTCCAATGGGTGAACGCCTTGTAGATCGCATAGAGCTCCTTCTCATAGGTGGACTTAGCCAACTTCTGAGAGGGCATCTTTTTGGACATGTACTCTACCGACCTCAACTTTTTCCCCTCCTGCTGCGCAAGTACGGCGCCTATGCCATATTGGCTAGCATCCGTAGTTACTACGAAAGGTTTGTCAGGATCAGGAAGTTTCAAGACCTCATGGTGTGTCAACGCATGCTTCAGTTGTCTGAAAGCCGCCTCACACCTGCCTGTCCACTCCCATGGGGTGTCAAGGCGGGTCAGATCAGTCAAAGGGGCGGCAACTATGCTATGGTTCTTCACGAAATTGCGACAGTAGCTGGTCATCCCTAAGAAAGACCTCATCTCAATCACAGACTGAGGACGCGGCCAGTCACGAATGCTGGCCACCTTCGCGTCATCGGGCTTCAATCCCTCTGCGAAAATCTCATGACCCAAGTACAAGATACGGGTGTGGCCAAACTCGCACTTCTCGCCGTTAATCTCGAACTTGTGCTGTCTAAGGAGATTCAAGACTTTGTCCAAATGAGCCACATGCTCCTCGACAGTCCTACTAAAGATAAGTATGTCATCGAGGTACACGATGACAAACTTGTCCAAGTAGTCATGAAAGATCCGATTCATAGCGTGCTGAAAGGTGCCAGGAGCATTGCAAAGGCCAAAAGGCATCACCACAAACTCATACAGACCATACTTTGTCTTAAATGCGGTTTTGTGTTGATCCTCGGGCCGGATTGCAATCTGATGGTAATCAGACTTCATATCTATCTTACTGAAGTACCGACACCCTTGCACTCTATCTAGCAAATCGTCGATGCGCGGCAGGGGCTCTCTGTTCTTGACAGTGATGGTGTTGAGGCCCCTATAGTCAATGCACATCGTCAAAGTGCCCCCCTTCTTTGGTATGAATAAGACTGGAGAACCATAAGGAGAGACACTCGGCCGAATCCATCCCTTCTCTATGAGTTCCTTGAGTTGTTGGCGAAGCTCGTCAAGCTCGCCTGGAGACATCTGATAGATCCTACCCTTCAGAATGCTAGACCCCGGGATAATCTCTATCGCGTGGACAACCTCCCTCTCAACAACCCCTGTCGGCTCTTCAAATAAATCAGGGTACTTCGCAACTACTCCCTCTATCTCCGACGACATTTTCACCGGCTCCCCTGCAGCAGAGACATAAACTAGACACATACCCTCCTCCTGATTTTGCTTATAGTAATTATAGAACGCGGCCGCACACATGCACCCGTAGAACTCGATCAAACTACTAGCCTTAAACTTACGTAATCTGGCGGTCCCTCCACCTGGCAAAGTGTGTTTGACCACTTTTTGGTCCCAGTCAAACTGGGGTTGTACAACAAAAAGATAGTACATACCTAACAAGATGTCCATGGGGAGATCATCGCTCACTAGAAACGAGACACGATGTCTCAGCTCCCCTCCCGCGTACGGGAAACAACACTCAACATTTTGAAGGTAGTCATTGACTACCATGCGCTGTTTGTTGGCACAGGTCGACTCCACAGGTCGACTCAGGTGCTGCACTTGTCCCTGTAAGCGCAACCTCTCAACGCACGCGCGACTAATGAAGTTCCGTGTCGAGCAAGTGTCATAATAGGCAACGTCCTTGCGGCCGCCAATGACCACCTCGCTGACAAACATCTCACCCTTAGGGGCTTCGACCAATGCCGTCCAAGAAGCTAGCGGGTCCGATCTAGACCACTCCTCCTCTAGCTCATCTAAGGACTCTAACACATTCATCGAACAGAGGCTCGATGGGTCTGAACGTGTTTGCAGGACGACTATGGAGTCAGTAGCTTGGGCCATCTCTCGAGATGGTGAGGGTGTGTCCACCACCTCGACCCTGTCAAAAACAACTACTATTCCTACTGGCCCGACGTGTTTCCCAGAGCGGTGCCAGAACTGCTGGCCACAAATCTACCAACATGAGTGGAGGATCCCAATGCCTGCCCCATCGTAGGCGGGATCTTCTCGGTCACCTTCTTGTTGTGGCACTTGAATTGGTTATGGCCATATTGACCACAACGAATACAGGCCTGCCTGGTGTACCTGTCTCTCCACACGTCCTCAGTGAGACCCGCTTTCTTACATGGAGGAGCATTGGGGTCAACTTGACTCCTTGACCGGGAACCTCTACAACGTCTACCGGTCGCCTTACCTTTTTGAGCTACGACAACGACTACTCCACCCCCTGAAGCTTCTACGCTGGCAGCCTCTGAACCTACTCCCTCCTGGAAGTTGTCATCCAACTTGATGGTTGAACCATCGTTATCGACAAACATTATGCGACCCTTCGCCTTCTAGTTGGGAGGCAGTGACTTCTTCCTACCATCTGTCGCGGGACTATGTCCATGCCCTATCTTTGCCTCAAGGTCTAGGGCCTTCTTGCTAAACGAAGGGAAGTTGTGCATGTTGATGTTGGCCTTACCTGCCAAGTGATTCCTGAGAGGCATAGGAAAGCATCTCAGGTAGAAGGTGAGTTACTCACCTGGGGGTCATAGCGAACCCCACAGACACAAATGAGACGCTCTACAACGACAGTGGCCTCTCTTACTGACTTAAACTGCCTCGTGTGCAGTGTGAGGATCGCGTCACTGGCCTTTTGGGCCGCCTGTGGATCGTGCCACCTGTCTTCCACCAACTTGAGGAAATCATCCAATTTCTGGGTGACTGCCCAAGCGAGAAAGTCATGACCGTACCCTTGTAGTTGCACTAAACCACTCAACCATCCTGCTGCACTCCCCTCTAGATAGGAGGCAGCCACAAACACTTCCTCGTGTGGCAAGGTAAGTTTCCACTTGACATAGACTGGCACCGCCCTCAACCAAGTGTTGAGGTCTTCGCCCCTCTTATCCCCTGTGAAGGGTTTAGGTGCGGCGATGGCCGTCTTTGGTACCCACTCACTTTGTCCCAGTACCTGCACCAATCCGGCCTGTGGACCCTGTGGCGCAGGCTGCTGCACTAGTTGCTGCTGGGGTTGTGTACCCTGTACAACGGGCCAGGCACCTGACCCGGACGGTGATGGAACAGCCTGCGCTCCCCCGACCAATATGTCCAGACTCTGCTGAATGTCTTGAAGGAGAGCCGTCTGGTGGTCCTGCATTTCAATTACATCTAGCAGAACGGACCTTATGGTCCTCACATCATCACTCATGTGCGTCAGGTCCATCTCCTCTAACTCACTAGCGCCCACTTGCCTCTGCTGCATCCTGACTTTTCTTCTAATCATTTTCTCTTTCTCTGCCTTAATCTCCCCTAACGCTTGCTGTAGCTGTGCCTCGCGAATCGCTGCTCGCTGTATGGCGACCTCCTCGGGGGTCAACACTATTGGCTGGCTTGCCATAACGCCAGTTGACTGACTCACGGTCTGTGCGACTGTTGACCCCAGATAACCTGAACTACTAGCCCAAGAAGTTTGCTGCGCGGCAGTGGCCATGGCTGCTGAAGTAGCAGCCTCGCTTGTGAATGCCCTGCTTTCCTCTGCGGCCCTAGCTCTTCTCTTCTGCTGCTGCCCCTCTCTCTG